CTCGCCGCCACCAACTTCCCCTGGGACATCGACGAGGCGCTGCGACGGCGCCTAGAGAAGCGGATCTACATCTCTCTGCCCACAGGTGACCTCTGCTCCCACAGACTGACCTCAGAACTGTAGTAGCATTATCAAGGCTACAAACAACCATCCTAATATCCTATTAATGTTGTTTTTGTGTAGCTGTGGGTCGTGTTGAGCTTCTAAAGATTAACCTGAGGGAGGTGGATGTGACTGATGACGTGGATCTGGACCTCATTGCTGAAAAGATTGAGGGCTACTCTGGAGCGGACATCACCAACGTCTGCAGGTGTGTGTTGTAGATGTTATTCATATGGTGGTGTGTTCTTTATAGTAAGACAGTTTTTCTTAAATTATATTTGTATGTGTCGCCTTGCTCCGCCTGGATTTTTTTCCAATTCAAAGCCCTTTTGCTGAAAATGATTTCTCATAGTTACTTTAGTTGAACACGTCTCTTGACTACCTGTCCTTGGGTCCTTTCTACCGAAGCTATGCTCGGAATGACAGGCATTTTATGTTGCCGAAGTCTTTTCTGCTCATCTCAGGCTAGCAATGTTTTGTTGCTTGTTGCTTAGTGATCACGGCCTAGTCTCCATCCATTTGAATTGAGCATCAACAGTATAAAATATACATTTACATAAAAAGAGAAAGGCAAAAGCACAAAGTTAAGCTTTTTTTCAACAAACATACCCCACCTCAACCAGGGGGAAAAAACAATCCAACTGAATCAAAGCACACATAAAGGAGGAAGAAAAGAAAGAAAGAAAACTAAACAAATAAGTTATGATGAAAAATAATAAGATCGGGTTCAGATATCTGACCTGTTGTGCATAATATCAAGAGTGTCTATAGTAAACAGAAAAGGTATCCACATTTTATCCAGGTTCTATTAAAAAGCTGTAAGAGAGAACCTACGTTTTTCCAGCTTTACATTTTGAGTACAACTCTTCAAGAGGGACGTTTATTTTAGGTAGCATACTTATAAAACAAAAAGTGTTACATTTGTTTGAACACCCGGCTCCTCTCTGCTCCTGTCTTTTGCTCAGGGATGCGTCCATGATGGCAATGCGTCGTCGAATCCAAGGCCTGACCCCGGAGGAGATCCGAGCTCTGTCCAAAGACGAGCTGCAGATGCCCGTGACCATGGAGGACTTCACCCTCACTCTCAAGAAGATCTCAAAGTCTGTCTCTGCTGCCGACCTGGAGAAATACGTTACCTGGATGTCTGAGTTTGGGTCAGTATAGAGAACGGTAGCGCGTAGACACAGATCAACCAGAACCTCGAAATGAGGACTTTTAAAATGAAGAAAGCATTGAAGACGAGGCACTACTGTATGGGAACCAGGAGGCCCATGAGGGATGAAGATTATACAGAGGGCTCAGTTTACTTCAGAAGACTGGTGCCTTTGAGAGAACATGATGAGAGCTTTCAGTGGCTTCATTCCTGCCTTTCCACATACTCTCCCCTCATTGTAGTAATGACAAAACTGTCTGTACAGAGACTATCAATCGCCCAGCTGCTGACTAACTGAAGTGACCTGAGCAAGAAAGGGGAAACTTTTAATGTAAAATAAGTAGCTTAATTCACACAGATAGACCAGGGAACGGTACTTACATGTTCGGCCTTGTGCAAGAACCTACATCGAATTCTCTCTAAATCAACAGACAAACTTTGCTCGTAAATTGCATGTTTCAACCTGACAGCTGAAAACTTTTTACATTTATGGGAGCGTGTGTCATTTCAATAATCAACATAGTTTAAATGTCTGAATGAGTTCTGACCTGTTCTGCTCGATTTGATTGGCAATATTTATTCAAAAAACACAACATACTAAACACAAGTTTAGAAGTTGTAGTAGTGATAGCATCCTGTAATAATTAGACAATCTTACAACAAATTAAACAACAGAGGGTGTTTGCTGGGAAAGCGACCTAAACAAAATTGAAAAATGGTTAGGTTGCCATGCCAAAAAATTCCCATAAACCTTCAGAAGCCATTGACAGGCCATGATGTAGTTGATTATCATTTAGATGTTATCATTATAATTCGGACTTTCTGGCAAATGCAACAAGTTTTCTTGAATCACATTTTAGTTGCCACATCTGGTTGTACCTGCAATTCTTGCACGAGGCCTTTTATTTTATTTTAGGAACAGTAGCACTTTTAATGTACTTCCTTCAGGGGCCCATGTTACTACTGACTGAACACACTTGAAGAACCACAAAGTCTTTGTTGTAAAGTGTCTGTTTATGTGTTTGTGTTTTTGTTTTAATTTTAATAAATGAAATTGCCTTGCCTTTAATATTTGTTTAAAATTGTAGTTCTGTTGATAGACAAATGCAGTCAAGCTTAAAGAAGATGGCTGCTTGACTCCTGGATTGTTCATTAAATCTTGCCTAAAAACACACCTACTGAATGGTTCCTGTTTTTGAATGTGTTGACTTTCAAACTAAGAATTAACTGAGATAACTTTAACTCAGCATGAGCAAGACATCTGATTACACATGGAAACATTGTGACAGGGTTAAAAGCTTAGGAGAAACCTATAAATAAATGAATTGGGACTATTTTGTCAAACTAATGCAATATCGTTGACACATTAAACCCATGACGAGAGCTAAGACATAAATGCTTGCACAATAATAGATTTTACAGTATGATCTGTATTTCCACAATTGGAGTATTTTAGAGATTTGCTTACTTGTTTTAGCAGAAACACTGTTTACTCTTTACTTTTCCTCATTAATGTCATTGATAAGATCTGGTGAGATGCTCTCTTCCCTATTTTACTTTTGTTTTTTGTTCCTTGCGTAGCACTCAAACACTCCTACATTTCTTTTCTAGGTCAACAGAAGTGCATCTGACATTTGAAATGTCTTCGCCTGTCTATTTCTTTTTCAAATGTGGGACAGATTGTAGACAGAACTCTTCTATGATCAAATTGTTAACCCCTCTTGGCTGATTGTTATTTGTTAAATCTAAAACGGATATAACTGCAGGCTTTATTGGCAGGTACTCTTTGTTTCCAATTACTTTGCAACAAATGCACTCCCTTGAATTATAAGGCGGTTATAAATGATTGGTGACCGAAAAAGAATAATAAAACAAAACATTTTATCTAAGGAAGGAACCAAAAAGGTATTTTACAAAATATGTGACTGTGGCACAGTCCCATAATCGTGTTGTCCTTATATTTGCTGGTGTCCTCTGTTTGCTAATGAAGGAGTTGTAGGATGTGACGACACACTTGTTAATCGTTTTTAGACTTTTCCTCATTCAGGGCAGCATTACACAACATAAAAAAAGCAAGAATGTATCTCTGTTAAGGAACCTCAAAATGTTTCTCCAAACGGCTTTAGAGGGGTGTTGATTCAGCTTAATTTAGGAGACTGTAGTTTGTGACTGTTGAACTGTATTGCATTATACAGGGAGGCTGTTATCCTCTACAATATGATGGCTTTGGTCATTCAACTAATAGGGTGGGGATACATTTCACAGAGTTCCTCTAACCATGTTTTCTAGTTCTCCAGACATCATTTTACATTGGGTGTTCATGGTAAATACAATCTCCATGGCAAGGGACCCCCCCCCCCCCCCCCAAGTCTGGAAGACCACAAGATGGTGGACAAGGACCCTAGGGATTTTTATAGATGATGGATATGTTTTTAACATGTAACCCTTGGGCCTAAGAGACCAAGATAGGTCAGGTAAGGATTAATAAGAATTGAGGGAAGATTGATTCATTATTCTAATGGGAATTCCCAACTTAATGTTGCACTTAAGGTGGCCAAGTTTAAAGTATACAAAGGTGAGCATTTCTTTCTGCTTTTATGTTGTGATGAATTCAATCTGTATGTACTGTGGTCACTTTATTATGTGGAGACCTGCATACTGAAAGATACATTCTTAGTAATACAAGTTTTTGTTTGTAAAACATGATGCAATCAACCAAATAAAGGAAGGGGAACAAGATGCCCAACACTAGTCTTAATGTTAGTGAGTCATCAATATAGTCTTGAGTTTATACATTTCTAATAAGCCATCAGCAAAATGGTGTTAGTTTGTCAGTTAAATGTTTCATATCATTATTAAATGTCCTTAGTAAAATATGCTTATAATAATCAATTGATCCATTCATGTGAAATAATAGTGGAGGAACTAACTACACTATTTACCTCTAACAAGTAATAGTGGTGAAAGTAGCATGAAATACCCAACTAAAGTACAAATTACTCCGGATACTTAAGTAAATGTACTTAGTAACTTTCCACCAATGCTACTCTCACACATAAGAGGTAGAAGAAGTACTCAGATCTTGTACTTAAGTAAAGGTAGAAGTATATATATAAGTGAAGGAATACTCTGCATTCAAAATGTTATGCCAGTAAAAGTATGTGTATATAACGTAAATAAGCATCAAAATGTACAAAAAGTAAAAGTACTCATTGTGCAGATTGACCCATTTCAGAAAAATATATATTATATGTTTTGTATATAATTATTGATGCATTATGTGTTTATCACAGATGGTAAAGGTGCAGTTAGATTGAATTACTTAGTATAATTGTTTATATTTCCCATTATTTTTCAAAATCTGCAAAAAATTAAGGTATTTAATAAATGTAGTGGAGTAAAATAGCACAATCTACCTCTGAATTGTAGTGGGATATAAGTACAAAGTAGCAAAACATTGACATACTCAAGTAAAGTAGTTCAAGCTCCTCAAATTGTACTTAAGTGCAGTACTTGAGTAAATGTACTTAGTTACTTTACACCACTGCACATAATACATTGGCAAACCCTTATGAAGCGTTAAGAATACATTTATAGCACATATTATAATTTCCTTGCCATAATCGATGCCATCATTAAATATGTCTCCCTTGAAAAAGAGATCAATGATCTCAATGGGACCTACCTGGTTAAATAAAGGTTTGAAATGAAAATACGCCATAAATCTCCTTCACTGTGCCGCTGCTGCGCGTATCCGTGACGCTGTGTCTGCATCAGCGCACGGTTGCAGCGCGACACTTCAGAGACGGTTTTCCTCCGTTATTTTATCACAGAGGGTCTACCGTACGCGCCACAATGGAGACTAAACCGGTCATCACCTGCCTTAAAACCCTCCTCGTCGTTTACTCCTTCGTGTTTTGGGTACGTAGCCTTTTCCTTTTTCTATAATATCCCACCGTTAAGTGTTTTGTTTTGTGTGCGCGATGAAGGGGTGGATTCATGCCGTGGTGTGAATGTAGCGCTAAATGGAAACTCCTTAATCTTAATGTAGCGTCTAAAATGTGGGTTTTATCGTTTTTGTATGATGTAACTTGTGTTTATATATGTTGTGGCTGCGGTCGGTGCAGCATATAGCACACATAGCATCATGGTTGTTGTCTTTAGCGCGGAAAAGGATGTTAACATCAACGCAACGATTTAACACTGTGTGATGAGACCGACGCTATGGGCCTTGTCTGTTTTATAAGGCCCCTTTAAAGACCATTTTCTCACGCACATTATTGGGGTCGTTGCTATAGATTCTTAAATGGACCTTGCACCCTAAACATATATTCTACCAGACAATGTGTTATTCCTATAGGAGCACTAGTAAAAGGCTCAAACGTGCCTTGATGGTGCATAAAACACAAACACTTGATGGAAGAAGCAGCCAATCATATCCTTTACCTAGGAAACAGTATCAATACCACAGTGTAAAAATACTCTATTACAAAGTCTTTTAAAATGTTATTGAAGTAATAAGTATGCTACACAATTTGCCTATCAATAGCTAAATGTAGCTAAGTACTTATTTTGCAGAAAACCCCCCTGTGAGTTCATATTCTTGTGATGACGATTGTTAAGATGTAAGCAGCATTTTCATGTTTTTGCTAATAACATATATTTGGATATTTGAATGCATAATCTTGAATTTCCCCAAAGGTCCATCTCATCTCATAATGGTCATGGATTTATAAGTAGACATTTCATAACCTACATCTACAAAGAAACTAGTTACAGTCCAGGCAAAACGGCATTTTAACCATGGAATGTAATTTAAATACAATAGTAAATGCATTTAATACAGTACAAATACTTTAATTTAAATACTCAGGTAATGTTGAGATTATTACCATTTCTTTGTTTGTTGGCCCTAAACATTGAGGCTGTACTTTGTGGTCTTTTTTTACAATACAACATTGTACTAAAGGTAATTTAGTTATTTTCAATTATCCATTAATCTACCACAATATTGTTTGGTTTAAGATTAGAAAATAGTGTCTTAAGTGTTAAATAACATCAATAAATGTGTGTTTTTTGTCCAGTTAAATAAAATGTGAGATAAGGACATAAGGTCAAAAGAAAACAAGAAAGAAAAAATGCCCACAATGTAGAAGCTGGATTCATAATTGCCATTGCTTGATAAAGGACTGAACTAATTGCCAGTTTTCCAATGTTTTGTCCACATAAGAAATAATTGGTACTTGCCAGCTCCCAATAATTGTATTTTTCGACGAACAAACATCAATGTGAACAAAAGCCAAGGAATGTTTTTTCGGGATCTTGCAAATCCGAGTGGACTCCCTCTCATTATCCTTTGTATGCTGTCTTTGTCCTGCACCTGTACCCAGCTGGGGTTGGACATGTGTACTGTCCACCTTCTTTGTGTGATATTTTGTCCACCTCATTTACATACTGAACAAAAAACACCAGACCCGTCCTACAATATCATGCAAAACATGGCACCACGGCTTAAGCTGCAAAAGCCTTGCTCTCATTTGAAATGGATACAAATGCTGTATTCACAATGCTGAGCGAGCAGCATAGCAACACTCGTTTGAAGAATAGATTCTGCTCCTTTTTTCCCTTTTAATTAAGGCTCTTTGTTATTGAGTGTCCTCGGGATTTAAGCCAGAAAATCACTCCAGAAAGCATTTCTCAAAACCGATAAAGTTGCTTCCCATTTTGGGATAAATTACTTTGAGGATTAACTTGAGAAGAGAAATAGTATTTTCTTATTCTCTGTTTGGTATTGAGTAGTTTGGATAAGCCTGTGTTAACATGTCAAATACCTGCAGAGTCTTCACGGATGATAAAGCATCCGTGCAAGCAACAATTTGTATCTTACACAACATACGACCACAATACTCAGTGACTAACTCACAAGCAGCTTGATTAACTTAGTCATTTTTTGACCATAATTCTGTGTTAAGGCTGATTTGTGATAGCTGCCAGGCACAGCGAAGGGTAGGATCATCTAATGAGAACACGTGGAAGAGATTTATCTGGCCCTAATGCGTTTAGGACTTGAAGAGTACTTTCTTTGCTTTCCGAAACTGACCCCTAACATTGCGAAAGAAAATCAATGTGGAAACGCAGACGCTGAAGCCTTTTCATTTCTGTCTTCACAAATGCTTAAACCTTTTCGAACGCAGAAATAAAAAGGCTGAAAGGAAGAGCTATGCTGTTATGTATCTCCCTGCAATGCAGACATATGTCTGTGTCACTGATATTAACTTTTATATTTAGTCAGGATTGGAGTGTCTCTTTGCGCTCCATTACATCTACAACATCAGGTTTCAGATGTCTAAAGAGCAGAAGTGTCCATAGCTTAGTGGCCGTCTGCACCCCCGACGGTTGCAGCAATGGAGAGGTCCAGTGGGGGGAGCATGCCTTCAATGTCCGGCCTCGGTTTCGCTGTCATCAGCTTGTCTTGACGACTAATGCCTCAGTTAGAGTATCTACATTGTCATACTTTGCACACAGGACAGTTAAATGCAGAGCAGGTGGTAGAGTGCCGTGTCCTCGCCAGCATATTTTGTCATCGCACCTTCTGTTGCTTTATTAGGGCCTGCGGGGGACAAGGAGGAGGAAGGGGGGGTGACCTGTTTCAAACTGTGCTGTAACCAGGGTGGCCGGCCTGGCATTGAATTTCAAACAAAACATGCAGGGCTGTGAGGAGGAGGAGGAAGGAGGAGGAGGAGGAGGAGGAGGAGGAGGAGGAGGAGGAGGAGGAGGAGGAGGAGGAGGAGGAGGAGGAGGAGGAGGTCTGAGGCTGTTTAGGATTCAGCAGCACACATGAGGTCTTCATGACTTGTTGGTTGCACTTATTTCCCCGATGGCTTCAAATTGAACACTTTAGCAATGACAAGACGATCCTTTATTTGTATGCTTACGGGGTGAGGCATTTTGATGCTCATGATGTAAGCCATAAACTGTTAGTACATCGTCATCTGGAGGACTGTTCCCTGAAATGACAGTCTGCTCTGGCTGCCAAGATCGCTGTTGGTAGACACTGTAGAAGACATTACCGACCAATCAAATCATCAGCATGCAGACGTGAAGTTCTGCTGGAAAGTAGCCCGCAAATAAAAGGGTCCTTTCATGAGAGCTGCAATGATTAGTCAATGAATCAGTAAGGACATTCACAGGAACATTTATTGACAGCTATTTTGATTATAAATTGATCATTTTCTTAGCAAATAAGCCAAACATTTGCTCATTCAAGCTCCTCAAATGTGAGAATGATTTGTTGCTTTTCTTTGTCATACATGATAGTCATTTCAATATATTTGGGTTTTTTTAACTGTTAGTTGGATACAAAAATATGTCACCATGGGTTATCAACAATCGGTCAGATGATACATGAATAATATATTGCTCATTGTGAAGTAGGGCTGCACGATTTTGGGAAAAAATCTAATTGCGATTTTTCTGACAGATATTGCGATTCGATTTGCGATATTTGTTTTTAAGCGACCCAACGGAAGTTTATTGTAAAATGCGGCCATAACTCCGGCTAGGAAGGTCGTATCAACGTGCTCCCGTCTCTCGCACCCCGCAGCCCGAGCTACGAGTGAAAAAACTAAACTTACATGAAACTTCCGTTGGGTTGCTTTAAAGTCAAGCTTCAGTTTAAGATTCACCCTGTAATAGAAACATGTGATGGAGCATTACTGACCTGACCCAGATGCTTTGTTTCACCAAACCATCTAAAGCTCCATTGGAAGCCATTTGGAAAGGGCGGGCACTTTCAAAAATACTTAACAGGTGATTGGATCAATCCGTCTATCACCTTCTATCATGGGCCACTTCTGATTGGTTAACAATGGCTCGTACATGTGGAGCACAGCACTTCTGATTGGTGTGGATTACATTACATTACATTTAGCTGACGCTTTTATCCAAAGCGACGTACAATAAGTGCGTTCGACCAACAAAATACAACCTTGAAGAAAACAGAATCATATAAGTACATCAGGTTTCATAGAGCAAAAACATTTCAAGTGCTACTCAACTGGCTTTAGGTAAGCAAGTCCTTTATTAGTATATAAGTGCTTCGTTAATAGTTCTATCGCTCGAAGTGGAGTCGAAAGAGATGAGTTTTTAGTCTGCGCCGGAAGGTGTGCAAGCTATCTGCTGTCCTGATGTCAATGGGGAGCTCATTCCACCATTTTGGAGCCAGGATAGCAAACCCACGTGTTTTTGCTGATGGGAACTTGGGTCCCCTTCGCAGCGAGGGTGCAGCGAGCCGTTTGGTTGATGCAGAGCGGAGTGCACGTGCTGGGGTGTACGGTTTAACCATGTCCTGGATGTACGAAGGGCCAGATCCATTCGCAGCATGGTACTGACACACAAGAACAACAACAACAACATATTTTAAAAAATCGCAGGCTTTGCGATTTGATAATCGCATCATTTAAAATCGCGATTTCGATTTAAAATCGATTAATCGTTCAACCCTATTGTGAAGTTCCCACAGATAATTATCACCCACCTCTACAGTTGCTCTTATCCCTACAGTGTTTTATTTCAGAGTTTTGGTTTTATAACCTTTTGTTCAGCCTACTGTGAGCCACCTGATCTGCAACCCAACTGTGGACAGATTAGGGTGGTGACTAACTGGAGAACCACAAAATATTATTGTTTTATTTTAGTATTTGAGACTCAAACAGAGCTAAAAGAGAGTGAATATTGGACTTCATTCACTGGATGTCCAGAAGCATGGCAGTGCTTAACCATGTCTGCTGGATTTATTAATAGTGAACAGATTAGCTATATCAAGTTTGTATGGTAATTAAAGTCATTCTTGTTTTTACAGCTCCCCCGAAGTGCCCATAACAAATGATATATAACTTAAAACAAATTAAATGTGTGATTTATTGTCAGTTAACCTGTAAAACCTTTAGAGAACACTTATGTTCTATCTTGTTTACATAATATATGTAATATAGCTGAAGTGGGCATTTTAAACAAGTAGACAGAGCCTCACTGAAAAAACTAAAATGAGCTTTACTCTGCCGCAGAAATAAAAGTCATATAAGCCCAGAGAAAGCGTCAGCTACAGTTAGAGGGAAGTTAGGGAACAACAGGATGGGGATCCAGATAAAGAGATTAGAATAACACTAAACAGACGACTCCTGAGACCATTTCAGATAGAAAGTCTACTGGCTCTCCGTTCGCACTGTGTGGTTCAGCTCATCGCGATGTTCCACTGAGGATTTATCTAACTGCCCACAGCTCGTCAATAACACACATTTGTACAGGTTTTGATGATGTAATAGATACAGCTACATGTTCAAGTTATAAATAAAGACAGAATAACATACGGAATATTGTGGGAAACCAACAACAATTGCCTATGATCAGTTAACCACTTGGGTCTATTAGTAATTATTAAGAGGGTTTGACGGAATATTCATGTTTTTCAACTGTTGGTGGTTGTCAATCTGTAGACCAAACGAGTGGTCGATAAAGCCAATAATTGTTAGTTGCAGCCTTAAACCAGTGCGATTTCAATATATAGTTTAGCCTAGGGCTGCTCAATTAATCGTATTTTAATCGCAATTACGATTATGGCTCGCAACGATTACGAAAACAACGTAATCGAAATATAACGATTCTTTTTTTATTATTGGTTTTTCAGTTGAGTTATACTTAAAGTTCAGGGTAATCAACTGTTAAAAACATACAGTTAAAAAAAAAAATCTCCAATAAATTGATGTTTTCAAAGTAAATGGATAATCGTTTTTAATAATCATGATATCAATTATTGACCCAAATAATCGAGATTATGATTTTTGCCATAATCGAGCAGCCCTAGTTTAGCCTATGCCTACTTTAAAGGTGGGGTAGGTAAGTTTGAGAAACCGGCTCGAGATACACTTTTTGTTATATTCCATGGAATGCTCTTAACATCCCGATAGCAATGAATATCTGAAGTGCTTTGACAAAAAATCCATAAAAAAATGTCATCTGTGGAAGCCGTAATACTGTAAAAAGTACAACCAATCGGATTGCCGCCCTGTCTGTCAGCCTTCCATCTCGTGCACGCACAAATGTATCTCGTGCCCTCATTGGGCGTGCCGTAATTGGGCGTACATTGCGCGTTCATGTGTGTTGGAGGAGGTGCTCTGTAAGGAAGTCTGAAGGAAGGGGCGGATTCTTTTCGGCTGTGTACTTTCAAATTGTAGTGCACTCGAGCCGGTTTCTGAAACTTACCTACCCCACCTTTAAGAGTTGCCAATGTGTGTGTTTACTCTCTCTGTAATAATTTCACCCTCGGATGAAACTTGTTGCTTGTGTGTCAAAGTGTTGATTTGTGTTGATGTTTGCGTGACAAACAATAAGCTCAGCCTTTGCACACAGTGACTTTTAGTAGTCATTCTCAAACCACTCTCACTGTGGTAAGTGTTGAAAGAACTCCTTATACCCGTGTTTAAACTGCGCCCACTTCTAGAACAACACAGCGGTGAAAGGACAGACTGGTGATTCGACACGGTGGAAAACCTTTGCCCGATCATAATGTACACACCCTAGAAACAGGGCAAAGTGTAAATATTGTTCACTCATTAACCAGCGGAGACTTGTTAAAGCTACAGTTAGAGCAGCCAAGTGTATGCATAGATATGTTTTATATTGTATACAAATCATGACTTTAAGCGGAACATTCTTCCCTCATTGCTAAGAGGTAACATTTACCCAAAGAGCACAACTGAAAACCACTGCTGTTTCATATTGGCTCATTTGCTAAAAGCATTCTTCAGTCAGTGTTGGAGGTTTGCGGGTGCACAGAGACATTTTAATAATAATAATAATAATACATTTTATTTTTAGACGCCTTTCATGACACCCAAGGACACCGTACAATTTGTTAAAAAAAGAAAGAAAACGCTAATAGGCAACAGAACATGATAAAAACACAAACAGGAAATCATGGAGGAGACAGTCAAGTGGACACAAATGAAACATATAATGGGGAGCACTACAGTGAGTAGGCATTTTGTACCGCCTGCTCCCTCTTTAGTCAGAGGGCCTGGCAGCAGGACGGCGAACAGCCTCCTCCTCCTCTTGGAAAGGAGGGAGGTCAGCGTGATGAGTTGGCCCTCGCGCCCAGTCAGATCATCAGCAGCCGTTCCACACCCTGCTCTCTTCCCAATAAGACATACCCAGCTGAGACACACAGCGCTTCAGCTGCCTCGTACAACACCCTCTTTTATCCGCAGCCTTCATTTGAAATGCTAAGATAGGCACAACAGGCGTCTCGCCTCGGATCAAAGAGCCCCTTTGATATGTCCCTTTTCTTTTTTTTCTTTCTGTGTGTGTGCAGGCATATTCATAAAGAAGGTGATTGCTTTCCCGCACGGCAGATACATTTGTGTCTTCTGTCTGCCGTCTCCTCCTCCTAACTCTAATTGCTCTGTTTTTTTTGTTACACCTTGATCATCTTCCTCCTCCTCCTCCCCCCTTTGCCACGGCTGCTAAAACCCAGCCTTTTGTAATCTCTAACCGAAGTGCACAGATAAAGGCCTGCTTCCTGCTTTCATTCTGTTTCCTGTGCTCTCTCTTTCCACATCCATCTCTCCAACCGTCGGCCTCCAGATAACAGGAGCCATCCTGCTGGCAGTGGGAGTATGGGGGAAGTTGATGCTTGGCCCGTACATCTCTCTGATAGCCGACAACTCCACCAACGCCCCGTACGTCCTCATCGGCACCGGCACCGTCATCGTCGTTTTTGGCCTGTTCGGATGCTTCGCCACCTGCAGAGGAAGCCCATGGATGCTGAAGCTGGTGAGAGGCTGTGAGAGGAAGGGTGGGGTGTGATATTTCAAGAAGAGATGCTGGTTAATTAGCCTCAGGTCACATGATAAAGGGAGTAATGGTTGACCTCTATCCTGTGGAGAGGGATCAGAAAGTCAATATATGCTGCAGGGCACTTTGTTCGGTTAATGGTGGTCAAGTGGGTGCGTTACTGTTAATGTGAGAGTGTGCAGGGATAGGCAAATGATACACTAAGGCAGAGGGTTTTCATGCAAACTATGCAAATCTCCCTCATCCTCCCTTTCTCTCTGCAGTATGCCATGTTCCTGTCCCTCGTCTTCCTCGCTGAGTTAGTGGCCGGGATTTCTGGATTTGTTTTTCGCCATGAGGTCAGCATGCAACACACCATGTAACAACAAGTCTAACACTAAGGCTGTATGAAGCGCTCTTATGACATGTGATATTGTTTGCGTGCTGCAGATAAAGGGAACCTTCCACAGGACATACACTGACGCCGTGCTGAACTACAACGCTGAGGATGAGGCGAGCCGTGCTGTTGATAACTTGCAGCACAGGGTAAGTCACCGTGAACATCACCACCGATCATCAAGGAGAAACAGCTTAGACATGCATCAGCTGCCGACCAAAACACATCCCTGAATCTTAAAAGTTTGTAATTTAAGGATAACACCTGCAACTCTATCTTTGTCTTATTGTCAAAAAATCTCCAAATAGACAAAATCGAAAATGTTGTCTGTACTATAGAGCTCTATTGTTTTTCAGGGGGAGAAAAGTATAATCTAATCTATAAAATAAATCACTAAATGTCGGACTATTAATAAAGTTCCCAAATAAATGCCCATTATTATTTACTCATTTTTATTAGAGCTTGCTAAAAATCTAAAGTGCTCAGCTCCTGGAGGAAAGTATATCCTTTTTTTCTATTATGACAGACGAGTGAAGTCGGAAACAATTCAGAGACAGACTGACAAGTGATTTGTTTTGGTCTTCACTTGGAATATTTTGACAGTAAGAAAAATATAGAGCCTTTTCATTTTAGTCCCTGAGTTTGATTTCAATGCTCTCTTATTTGCTGTGTATTTATAGCTGCGTTGCTGTGGTGTGTATAACTACACCAGTTGGTTTGGAAGTGTGTATTACCCCTCCAACGGCATTCCTGCCAGCTGCTGCTTCAACGCCTCCGACTGCAACCCGGATGAACTCCGCAACACAACTCTGGCCCCCAGCAAGGTCTACCGCCAGGTCAGTATGCCATGTATTCTCTGCTAGCTACTTTATGAATCCCAGCAGTCAGAAGGTGGCTGCATTTATCTGACAGGCCCTCATTCACCTTTCCAAACCTCCCTCTTCCATACACTAACAACTGGCTCAGATTGTATCCCAGATATCCATGTTTCCTCTAATTTGCACACGTCCCTTCACCCTCTGCAAACTAACATGCCGCCTGTCTTTCAGGGCTGCTACGAGCTGGTCACTTCATTCATGGAAACCAACATGGCCATTATCGCAGGGGTGACGTTCGGGATTGCCTTCTCACAGGTAACGGTTTCAATAAAACGCTGGTTTTGCTTGCGATGATGTGCAAATCAAAGGTGTCACGTGTGGTGTTTTGACAACCATAAATAATCATTATAATTCAATTTGAATTAGTATTGCTCAGAAGATGAGCAGACACATCTTATATTCCCTTTGACGACTGCCAGCTTTGCCTTGACAGGAAATTATGAATTGTTTTAGCGCAAACAAAGAGAACATTTTCAATAGACCTTTTTTACGGAAGATATTTTGACATGTGGGAAAGCACAGGTGTAGATAATAAAATGAATGATGGTTGAAATTGTTCAGCTGCTTCAGCTGCTGGATCCTGGTCATTAATGTTATTTGTAACACCTGTGTTTTTAATTTTATGACAAATCAAAATCGCTTGTGTGAAAAATGACATGAAACAAATTCCTGTCTACATTTCTAGAATATATGTGTTTTTATCAATGATTTGTTTTGAAAAAATGCACAGGCTCTTATACTTCTTCTAGTTTGTTCTAATATGTGTAACAATGGTGGATGGAGGAAGGAGAATAGTAGCACCATTGTTCTTGCAATAAAACTCAGATGTCAAAGATAAAAAGAATGAAAGACTGAACATAAAGTAAACGAAAATCCTTCTCTGTCTGTGTTTCAGCTGATTGGCATGTTGCTGGCCTGCTGTCTGTCCAGGATCATCACAGCCAATCAGTATGAGATGGTTTAGCTGATGTGGCGCGACAGGTGAGAACCATTTACATCCAGTATACACATACATAGTTAAAGCTGCTGTGATCAATATATATATATGTTTCAGTCTCACTGCTCTCACTAGCTTTAGCAGCCATGCCCCCTCCCTGTATGCTTCCTGTCCGGCTCCAAAAAGCAGATTAACAAAGACAGCAACTAGCTGGTGAATATAGTGGAGCATTTAGCCGCTAAAGAGCAGGATATCGGGAGTTGCAGGGACCAAATCATAAACCAAATAAAAGTTAGTATTTGACATTTATCATGTGCCCAGAAATACAACTCTCAAATAAATACAAATACTGATTTCTGTGTGCTGCAAGTGTAAACAGGCAAATGTAGCTGATGTTTTCCCCATTAACAACTTTGTAAGATGATGGCAGCCAGGTGAAGTGTGTTTTTGCTGCCCTCAAGTGGCCATAGAATCATGACTGCTGGTTTAACAGATATACAAGTACCTTACTTTTCGTTGTTGTAATTTCAGGGAGATGAAGAGACAAAGAGCCTTGACACGTGACGAGAGTTAATTCCCGAAACACTATCACACGTCCGGATTGGAATTTGCCTCCCTCCGTCTCTCTCTGCCTGTGATCTTAATCTAGTATCTTAATGTATCTTACTGTAAAGCACCATTCCTCAACTCACTGTTGTTGCATCAAAGCGTTCTTTACCACACATCCCACCGCTGCTTGATGTAGAAGTTGCTCATTAGCACATATCTAGGATCAGTACATCCCACAACAAGCAGGTACATTCGAGTTGACGCGTTGTTGGTCTCAGATCGGCGTTTTGGGTTAAAGTGATTTTATTCTCAGTTGACGGCAGCATGCTCCACCGACCGTCTTCAGAGAACCACTGCACATCTTTGTACAGAATGACATTACTAAAGCTTGAAAGTAATACTTTAATAGATATGTTTAGTTTTGCATTTGACTTTGCTATTGCTCTCCATTGTATATTCCTATAGCTGTGACATTTTGTGATCTGATCATGTGTACGGAGGAGGGTATTTTAGGTTTATATGGAAAATTAGGAAACTGACGAATGAGAGGAAAGGAAGAATTGTATAAACGTGATTTGAACTGTAAGACGAGGCACATTGATCAATTAAGGCTTTAATATCAAACTCACACAGTAACTTTGAGTATTGCTTAACTTTGCCCTACTGTACATACACTTATGATACTTAATGTAATAACCAATTAACCAATTTGTTTTGGGGGCTCTAAGGAATGTGTTTGTCGAATGACACCAAAAAGTGATGTTACATTATCTCTGACACTAAATGGTGATAACTTTTTAGGGACAACAGTAAACACTTCTGTCTTCTTTAAGGCATGTGTAGTGTTGCACCCAGATACAAATGTACAGATACTGTGAAAAAGAAAGAAGAGAATTTGAGCGATAAATCCTGCCAACTTTTACAACTGAACGTGTGATCCAACAAGCACTCAATTTAAAGCATACTGACTCCTTATTAGTGTGTCAGTACTTATATTTCCCGGGTAATGTAAAAGTAACTGACTACATATCAAATTGTCAAGATGTTTGCCTTAAAGAGCAACTTACCACCCAATGAAAATCTTGTTTTTTTGCGACCTCCAATGATTACATTAACCCCCCTTGTTGCAGTGACAAGGATGTTAGGCTGAAACAAAACACAGATTTTGGATGTTGGCGACCTTTTCAACCAAATCAGTAAAACAGATTTCCAGCCTGTTCTATCAGATCTTATCCATTTGTTTCTCCCGGTGGAATATAATAACCAGCTGTGTGTTACAGTGAGAGAAGTCGACATTAGAGACTTGCAGGACTACAACAGTGCTCATCTAGTTTTTACAGTATTCTATGTAGTGCATAGACATGCCATCATCACCACCACCTGTAGATATGTATTGGAAATGTACTTTATATAATGTAATGTTTCTCATTCTAATATGCTAATCTGTATCAATGTTGTGTCACCGTTTTGATTCCGCACTTTGTGCTGTTAATCTGTATTTGTTTAATAGGAAACTCGCACTGGAAAATAATTGTGGCCAATGTTTTGTTGAGAGTAACGTGCAACATGTAGGTGTTTCAATTTAGCTGTATATTTATTATAGTTTGGTTGGCATTACGTTTACAGTTTCACCAAGTGGTTTTCTATCTCTCTTTCAGGGTGTGTGTGTGTGAGTGTATCTGATTTTTGTTTCTTTACTTAACAGTCTCCTTAACCTTGACTGTGTGATTTCCTCGTGTGTATGAGTGTGAGAGAGAGATTGTCTATTTTTGTGGATCCTGTTGTATTTAACTTTGGTCAGTATTTTGTTGTGGCTTTTCAATCCTTATTGCTTTTAAAGCTGTACATTTATTTAGTGAATGTATGTTTTCCAACACTATGAATTAACACTTCCTTTTTCCCTTCCCCATACTGATATTTTCCTGTAAATACTTAATTGTAATACCATCCTGCTTACACATGGGGTCACCAGACGCTCAAAAAAGAATTGCACCATGCTGTCTACAATTGACTAAGTCACCATCAGTGGTCTTATTATCAATAAATATACAGAATAACAACTGTGTTAACGTTGATTTATTTTTGCTACTATCAAGACAGCTTTGTACATGTCATATGATATACTTTATTAATCCCCGTGGTGAAATTGTTTCTCTGCATTTGACCCATATAGTGTTAGGAGCAGTGTGCTGCCATTTTGAATGGCACCCGGTGTAGGGAACGGTGCCTTGCTCAGGGACACCTCGGTAGCACTTGGTCTTTCGGGGACTTGAACTGGTGACCTTCCAGTTACCAAATCAAGTCCCTATCGACTTCGCCACCATCCCTCCATGCAGTGTTAAACAGCTGTTGTATTACATGTCTTTACCAAAGTTATACTATAGGACACTTCAAATGTTTTCAGGAATCTGTGAGCTGATTTATTTGTCATGTTATGAAACAACAATATATATTTTATTGAATTTATTAGCTGTCATTTTTCCTTTTGACAATAATAAAGGGTATAATGTGAGCTATTTCCAAATTATATATTTCGCTGCAGGATTAGTGTCAAAAGAGGTCGGGTCAAAGGTTAAGTCATGTCCAGAGTGTGTGGATAAATATACAGGATGTGTGGGTGGGTGGGTGGGTGCTCTAATCAATTTGAGTAGGACTTTAGAAACATGGGATTTAAAGATCAAGAAATAGACCGCTCGGTTTGTCAATGAGATGCCCGGTAACAGAGCACCAGATGCAGTGAATCGTTTTGTGTCGGCATATGTCTGTGCGGCAGTTTGCCTCTTCTCAATGGAGACAACAAAACGTACCTTTTAAAACTAGTCACCTGGTTGACCTTGGGTTGTTGGTATAGCTCATTTGCCCTTCCTTAACTACAAACAACTATAATAATAACACATATTTTAGATTCAAAATTAAAGTAAACAGACATTTTGTTGTATATTGTCTTTATTGTCATTCTACAATTAAATGTTGCACTGCTTCTCTCAGTGTTTTTACATTAAAACGATTTTTTTATTTTTTTATTTAAAGCAGTAATAAAAACAGTTGTAGCAAGATGAATAGAAGAGACATGTGGAAAAAATAAAAGTACCAGTTTGCAGATGATTACAATTTAAAAGATAATTTATATATTTTTGTCAAATTGGCAACAAAAACACAATTAACCCAGTGTTCTTATCCAGACTTTTTGTAGATGAATACAACTCTTTATACCCTCACACAATTGTGAGCAAACACACAACAAACAATGGATGCTTGGAGAAATCAGACAAACTTCAAATGTATTTAGGATTTATAAAAGAACTAAATAGCATTGAGCAGCTCTTACACATTATAGGGCAACTAAAGATAATCTGCACAGCGTACGACACCCTTGGTCGGGGATAAGACATTTTTACTGTTATAGGTAAGAACCGGTAAGAGCAGGACTGAAGCTCTGGGGATCCCTCTTCTAGGAGGAACTGACATGCAATAGATGTGGTGACACTGACAGATGATCTGGGTTACTGTGAGCTGAGAGAGACAGATTGACAACTTGATCAACTGAGATACAGACAACAAATCAGACTGCCAGTTCTTGGCAACAAGAAGTGAAGACGCAGCAATGTCCTCTGCTCTAATGCTGCCTGTTTGAAAAGATAGAAGCAAGTTGTATACACCATAAAAGACAAATCAATACGACGTATTTCATGCCCTAACGTAACTGTTTTTATTATTTTTCTGTATAAATGTTTTTGTTAAATTTGATAATGTAGATTATGTAGATAGACGAGTAGTTAAATTGTATATTTCTTCTGTTGATATTTATTTTATTCAAGTCCAATGCCTTGTTGACATGCTACTGTAGAAAAACAATTTCAAAATGTGGGATCAATAAAGTACATATAATCTAAATTATTAATTAAAATATGAACCATTTTAAAGACATATCTTGTTATATTAAGGTCTATGCCTAATCTATACTCACAAGAGGAGGAACATTTTAATTATTTTTAACATTAAGTGATTATTCTTCTAAACTTCCTGAGGCTGGTTTACTTTATGACATCACTGAATACCATCTTTGTCCATGTGGTGGCGCTTGGGTATTAGCGGAAAACGGAGCTGTTTGGAGAGGGGAGGAAAACAGCATGTGTGGTGAGAGGATGCACCACACACACAACACGCACACACGTCACACACACACACGTCACACACACACACACACACACGCACACACAGTCTGTCTCCGTCCGTCCGCTGATTCTCCTGCGCTGCTGCGGGCTTCATGGGAAACAAGGCCGGGAAACAGCGGTGTGCAGGCGGCTTATGAGAGGCTGTTACTCGGGCAGAGATCGCGCTAACTGGGCTCGCTCCGATCTCGTTAAGCAAATTACCGACAGAGCGGCGTGACAGTGGGTCCGCTAATGGAGCGTGCGTGCCGCTGGCTTCCGAGCACAACACCCCCCCCCCATGTGCCTCCGCCTCCCGAATACACTTAATGGGTTATAGGCTGGAGGGAGGCATCCACCGGGGAAGCGCTATTACTCACACAGACACACGCACTGAAGAGCGCACCGACACGTTCAAGTGCAGCCAGTCTAATGATGAGGAAAGGCTGGGTGCAATGATAACTGCGTTTTTAACCATAGACATGTAAGATGTTTACTACTTCCTTTCTGACTCTCGGCGTGTAATCTTGAAACAAATTCCCAATAAAAGCATACTGAAACAGGTGACATTGCTTCATACTGCACACACAGAGGTTCCCAATTGTTTTTCAGCCAAGGACCCCTTACAACATGAGAATACTAATGACCCCATCATCTATGTCCATTGGAAAATTGGCTATTATTTACACTTCTATTATATTAGTTATGTTTAAGAACAACATATTATGAGAAATGTTGGCTATATGAAAGATATAAGAAATGTTTCAAAAATATGTGCACAATTTTAACAGAATACCCATAAAACAACACAGTTTTTGTAAGGAACACTGTAGCAAACATTATATCCGTCAAATCAAGAGAGAAAGTGTCTGACACACACACGCAGACATCAAGAAAGTGTGATGTGAAGTGTTTCATTCTTGGTGCATAGGCTCAATATGGATTCTGATCATGGTATTACAAATAATATACCATTTGCTAGATAAGGTGATCTATGAACAATTTGAAATTTGAAAATGTAAAAAAAAAAAAATGTGTTGAATATTTGATATCATGATAATATAAATAATACATCTAGAAACTTTTCAGGACCTCCTGGCAGAAAGCCACATACCCTCTTTTAAAATCACTGCTTTAAAATGTCTAACCTATATTATAAAATAAATATATAATATACTGTTGTCACGTTTTCAAGTATCTCCTTAGAAAACGTTGTCTCTGGCTCATTGGGTTCAGTATGATGGAAATGTGATTTCAAAGGCCTATTTGAACAGACAAAAAATCTTATTAAACCTATGATTACATTACTGCTTTAATATGATCTTATTATGAATTTCATTTCCTCTTTTCAAGCACATACTTCTCTCTTCTAATCCACAGTGATAACCTCATTTACTTCCTTATAAAGCAGTAGGCCCGTCCCGCTCCACACGACTGTTTGTGATGTGAGGCATTGCTGTTGTTGGGTAATTGCTGTTGCTGCGTTGCCTCCAGCTTCCCTGCTGAACTTAAGAAACCATGCCTCACACTTTTCAGTAACATGCAGTTGTGATGACAAGTACTAGTTCCCACTCAAGCTGCCTTTTTTTGTACAGCCCTGCACCCCCTCATGCCTCCACCTCCTCCTCCCTGTCTTTGAAGCCAAGGATGATGATGATGACACCCGCTGTAATCGGTGGATGCTCAGCGTCTGACATGACACACAATCGAGAAACCCTTCCGAACTGATCCGGGTTTCATTGTTGCATTCAAGCATAGTGCGCTTTCTGACAAGTGAAAAGGCCTTTTCACGGGGAAATAGAGGCAGGCAGTGAGGAGGGGCTGTGATTGACAGGCCTGTTGAGAGAGCAGCTCCTGTTCTTATCTGATCTCCACTCAGCAGCCGTGCACTCTTGCTCTGCTGACCTGCTGTTTTCCCTCTAACTTGATCTGGGATCAGTTTATCTACAGAGGGGGGATAAGATTAGTCAGTTGGGGTTTTGTAGTTTTACTTCCAAGGCAGATCTGGGATTAAGGTGATGTGTGGTAAATGACATGACTACATTTACTGAACTGCTGTATTGAAATACAACACCAAGGAACTTCCCCCCCCCCCTTCTGTGCTGTTTTATACTTCTACTCTATTTTAGAGTACACATGTTGTACTTTTTACTGCATTTATGTGACAGCTTTGCAGAGTAAGATTTAAGATACAATAAATATTTTATAATATATTGTGAATTTCTTGAGGATTAAACTAATCAAAGAGTATACAAATAGAAAAATCGGATCCACCTTTACTTTATATGCAACATTAAGATTAAGCATCAGAAGGCTTATAATAACCCAATAATGCTGTATATAATAATGTCACACTGAAAGGCATCCTTCTGCTTCATTTTAATTACTTTTTGATGTTTGCAGTACTTCCATGCTTCCCTTTCAGTAACTTTTGAATACACTTTGACTTGTAATGGAGTTTTTTTACCAGGTCCGAGTCAAATGACTTGAACTGTAGTCAGAATTGAGACACGTGGCTTTATGCTCAATTTAGTCAGAAAATAATTTACTTGTGCTTTAAAACCAACGACTTGTGGCTTCACTTGGACTTAATCGTTTTAACTTGAAATTAGTTGATAGGCTACCTCCCCCCAAGTCCAAAGATTTAAAAGTATTAAACGTTAATGCCTTTAATTCCCAGCAAGACACCACTTAACTCCCCAAATCCAGTTTTGTAACTAATCCTTTGCAGGAGAGAACCATGAAGAACTAAAGTAACCGTACTGAGCGCCATTTGGGCAATTGATACCAAAGATAACTTTGCTTGTAGATAGAAGAACTGTGCAATGGTCCACATTGAAGGAATTGTAGTATGCAGAATATGTGGTTGAAAATGTCACTGTGTCTTGTTCAGGACTCGAAACTCATCT